AAATTAACGATGCATAACTAATATCATGATTATAAATTATACAGGGTGGATAACAAAATAAAATATGAAGATAATGTTTTACCAAAAAAAAAAAATTGAAGATAATGGGTGTGTGGAAATATCGAGGACGATACTCATCGCATGCATACAAACAAATAAAAACAAAACTATCTACAATGAATTTGTGTAAATAAATACATGCGTGATACATAAAAGTAAAAATAAAACTGTTTTAAGACCGTTAATTTTGAATTTTGGATCACTGCTATGAAATCATGGATCTGGAGCCTTGTGAAGAATTTGTTGGAGTGTTTTTCTTTCTTCAAAAACTAAAAGAAAAAAAATAAAGAAAATGAAAATGAAAGAGAGAACAGGCAAGGAAGGAAGAAGTCATGGATATAAAGATTATACTTACAGTGTTCAAAGTACCCAAATAGATCTAAACAGCACCACCACCACTCCTCTTCGGGTAGGTTTTAGAGAGAAACTGAACAAAAAAAGAAGATATATGGTGCCAATCTTCTCTACGTACGCTTGGTGGAAACTTGAATATATATATATAAAAGGGGGTTGCTATATGTTCTTGCCTAGTGGGAAACTTTAAGACTTGGGTCTCTAACGGGGAAAAGGTTCACTCGAAGTATGATGTTTTGTCTTCTTTTTAAAAATTTCCACAATATAAAGTTGTGTGAATATAAGATCCGATGGCTGTGGAAAATTAGTACTCTTGGGCCGTGTTTGGTACTTAGGATTTACTTAGATTAGGAGATAGGATTGGAATTACAGTCAATGATAAGTACTCTTTATTAATTGGCATATTAGTGTTTTTTTTTTTTTTGGTAAAAGCATATTAGGGTTTTGATTTCGAGTCTGGGCTTCCGGTCTTATGTGTCCCACCTTTTTTTTTAAGAATAAATTATCTTACAAAAATGCACGTAATTGAATTATGGTGAGATTATCTTTTGTCCTAGATATATTCATTTTTTTAGCACTAAATATGGTTTTAAGGGGTTTTGTGGTTGGGTTTTAGAGGTTTGTTTGTTTCGTATAAGTTGTTTGACTCTTCTGTTTAGTTAATAGCATGGATGATACTCTTTCCTATCCCAGGGTTTTGTTTTCTCTGAGAAGGTTTTAACGAGACCGCCGTTAACATGCTAATTCTTATCATGTAATATTCATTTCAGTTGAATGAAATACAATCTTTTCTAAAAATAAAAATAAACTAAGCTAATATCCAATACCCACCAAACCAGGGTTTTGGTCTTCCTACTTTCTTTCAGCTGGAGGAGGAAGACAAGACACCAAACATCCAATAATTAATAAAGACAAGACGATATTATATGGCCAGTGGCTTCCCACGGAGAGCCAAGAGACAAAGAGGGTCGACCAAAGCTTATTATAATTGACTGGAAACTTGTGTGAAGCTTCCTCAGTTTCTAAGAAGACAGGCTACCGAAAAGAAATGTGGACTAGGAATAGTTCAAAAGTAGAAGTGATTATGTGAAACAATCAAATTGAGAAATTTTATCATGTATATTCTTTTGTATATTCTTTTTCGGGTTGTTAGACTACGTTCAAAATGATCAATTGTCATTGAGTATAGTTCATGCGTTGTTGGTTTTAGATGTAGGTCCTTTGATTTTATTTGTTTTTTTGTTTTTTTGTTTTTTGTTTTTTGTATGGAGGCAATAAGGATCCGTTTGAATTCATGGATTTGATTAGGGAGATTTGGATTTAGAGGCCCAAATCCAAATCCTTTCCATCGTTTTGGACATATTTTAAATTTGACCCAAATTTTCATAGGCTCAAAAGTAGATGTAGAACATCTGAAAGTAAGCATTTGAGAGGATTTTAATTTTTACATGTGAGAATGTGAGATGTAAAAATAAGAGAATAGAAAGGGGAGATATGAGAAAGAAAACTATTTCAATGAATTTTACATCTTTAGATGAAAAATAAAAACAAAACAGAGAGGGCGGGATGAGAAAGAAAACCAGGGGGGTTTGTTTGTTGTTCGTTGTGGTTTTGAGTTGCCGTACACTGTATACATAGGGGGCGTATGAAGGAAAATTGCATTTTGGTATTCTAATTAATTCGCAAAATAGCTTATGTAGTTCCTCAATTATCTTTTGTCCTAGATATATTCATTTTTTTAGCACTAAATATGGTTTTAAGGGGTTTTGTGGTTGGGTTTTAGAGGTTTGTTTGTTTCGTATAAGTTGTTTGACTCTTCTGTTTAGTTAATAGCATGGATGATACTCTTTCCTATCCCAGGGTTTTGTTTTCTCTGAGAAGGTTTTAACGAGACCGCCGTTAACATGCTAATTCTTATCATGTAATATTCATTTCAGTTTAATGAAATACAATCTTTTCTAAAAATAAAAATAAACTAAGCTAATATCCAATACCCACCAAACCAGGGTTTTGGTCTTCCTACTTTCTTTCAGCTGGAGGAGGAAGACAAGACACCAAACATCCAATAATTAATAAAGACAAGACGATATTATATGGCCAGTGGCTTCCCACGGAGAGCCAAGAGACAAAGAGGGTCGACCAAAGCTTATTATAATTGACTGGAAACTTGTGTGAAGCTTCCTCAGTTTCTAAGAAGACAGGCTACCGAAAAGAAATGTGGACTAGGAATAGTTCAAAAGTAGAAGTGATTATGTGAAACAATCAAATTGAGAAATTTTATCATGTATATTCTTTTGTATATTCTTTTTCGGGTTGTTAGACTACGTTCAAAATGATCAATTGTCATTGAGTATAGTTCATGCGTTGTTGGTTTTAGATGTAGGTCCTTTGATTTTATTTGTTTTTTTGTTTTTTTGTTTTTTGTTTTTTGTATGGAGGCAATAAGGATCCGTTTGAATTCATGGATTTGATTAGGGAGATTTGGATTTAGAGGCCCAAATCCAAATCCTTTCCATCGTTTCGGACATATTTTAAATTTGACCCAAATTTTCATAGGCTCAAAAGTAGATGTAGAACATCTAAAACTAAGCATTTGAGAGGATTTTAATTTTTACATGTGAGAATGTGAGATGTAAAAATAAGAGAATAGAAAGGGGAGATATGAGAAAGAAAACTATTTCAATGAATTTTACATCTTTAGATGAAAAATAAAAACAAAACAGAGAGGGCGGGATGAGAAAGAAAACCAGGGGGGTTTGTTTGTTGTTCGTTGTGGTTTTGAGTTGCCGTACACTGTATACATAGGGGGCGTATGAAGGAAAATTGCATTTTCGTATTCTAATTAATTCGCAAAATAGCTTATGTAGTTCCTCAACTTTACTTTCGTCAGCAATGTTTGTCGTGTTGTCACATTCGTTAAATTTTCTAATAAATTTAGAGGGGGATGATGTGTCAACTTTAAATCTTTAGAATTAAATTTTAATGAGATAACGTCTTGAAGATAGAAATCAAGCATATCCTAACAGAGAAAATCCAAACAGAAAATCCGGATCCTAACTAAAGTACTACTAATGAGGGCGCGTAATTAACAAAGCCCAAAATTTCGTTACATTGCATTTGGATAAAAACAAACAAATTCGCCTGGAATTTGCTTGGACAATATTTTTGCTGTAACTAGAAGTTTCCAAATACTATCCTAGATTCGTAGTTGTGACTCGTAACCAAAGGGCCCAATTGCGCCAACGAAATATTTCCCTCGAATCCAACGGCCAAGGAATGAAATACAATCTTTTCTAAAAATAAAAATAAACTAAGCTAATATCCAATACCCACCAAACCAGGGTTTTGGTCTTCCTACTTTCTTTCAGCTGGAGGAGGAAGACAAGACACCAAACATCCAATAATTAATAAAGACAAGACGATATTATATGGCCAGTGGCTTCCCACGGAGAGCCAAGAGACAAAGAGGGTCGACCAAAGCTTATTATAATTGACTGGAAACTTGTGTGAAGCTTCCTCAGTTTCTAAGAAGACAGGCTACCGAAAAGAAATGTGGACTAGGAATAGTTCAAAAGTAGAAGTGATTATGTGAAACAATCAAATTGAGAAATTTTATCATGTATATTCTTTTGTATATTCTTTTTCGGGTTGTTAGACTACGTTCAAAATGATCAATTGTCATTGAGTATAGTTCATGCGTTGTTGGTTTTAGATGTAGGTCCTTTGATTTTATTTGTTTTTTTGTTTTTTTGTTTTTTGTTTTTTGTATGGAGGCAATAAGGATCCGTTTGAATTCATGGATTTGATTAGGGAGATTTGGATTTAGAGGCCCAAATCCAAATCCTTTCCATCGTTTTGGACATATTTTAAATTTGACCCAAATTTTCATAGGCTCAAAAGTAGAACATCTGAAAGTAAGCATTTGAGAGGATTTTAATTTTTACATGTGAGAATGTGAGATGACAAAAAAAAAAAGAGAATAGAAAGGGGAGATATGAGAAAGAAAACTATTTCAATGAATTTTACATCTTTAGATGAAAAATAAAAACAAAACAGAGAGGGCGGGATGAGAAAGAAAACCAGGGGGGTTTGTTTGTTGTTCGTTGTGGTTTTGAGTTGCCGTACACTGTATACATAGGGGGCGTATGAAGGAAAATTGCATTTTCGTATTCTAATTAATTCGCAAAATAGCTTATGTAGTTCCTCAACTTTACTTTCGTCAGCAATGTTTGTCGTGTTGTCACATTCGTTAAATTTTCTAATAAATTTAGAGGGGGATGATGTGTCAACTTTAAATCTTTAGAATTAAATTTTAATGAGATAACGTCTTGAAGATAGAAATCAAGCATATCCTAACAGAGAAAATCCAAACAGAAAATCCGGATCCTAACTAAAGTACTACTAATGAGGGCGCGTAATTAACAAAGCCCAAAATTTCGTTACATTGCATTTGGATAAAAACAAACAAATTCGCCTGGAATTTGCTTGGACAATATTTTTGCTGTAACTAGAAGTTTCCAAATACTATCCTAGATTCGTAGTTGTGACTCGTAACCAAAGGGCCCAATTGCGCCAACGAAATATTTCCCTCGAATCCAACGGCCAAGAGCTTCGCTTCTCGATCTTACTCGGTCCATCATTTATAAACCCTCCTCACAAACTCACATAGTAGCCCAATACCACAAGCAACCACCTGTTTCTCTCCTCTCTCGTCGTCTCAATCTCTAGAAGAAGCATTTGCTCGGTAAGCAATTTTTCCCAAATATTCATCGGCTCCTTTTTACTTGCAATTTTAGGGCTTGTGATCGAGTTCCCTAACATTTTGATATCAGTAAGTTCACCTCAAGTGTGTGGTTCTGATTGATTTTGTTGGATTAGTTTTCGTTTCATGTACATTATGCTCCCGATTGTTGCCGTCAGGTTAAATTTTCGAAGTAGTTGATTTAGGGTTAATATGTAATTCAGTACCAGCTCCTGGATTTGTAATGAAATGCGAAGCTCCGGGAGTATTTATAGTACCCTTTATTGCATATGGTTCTTTAGTTTTATACGGACATATTTTAAATTTGACCCAAATTTTCATAGGCTCAAAAGTAGATGTAGAACATCTAAAACTAAGCATTTGAGAGGATTTTAATTTTTACATGTGAGAATGTGAGATGACAAAAAAAAAAAGAGAATAGAAAGGGGAGATATGAGAAAGAAAACTATTTCAATGAATTTTACATCTTTAGATGAAAAATAAAAACAAAACAGTTGTAGTCTTTGGAAAAACCTTTTCTGGGTATAGTTTTGAAATAGATTTTCTTAGAATGGATGATTCTATAAAGGAAATATGGTTGCCCGTCAATGCGTAGTTCATTCATTAAGGTTCTGTGTAGTGATAGATTATAAATGGTCAGACCGTTGTTAAACAAGATACCCCTGTTCTGTTTTTGTTAATTATACAGTTTACATTTTCAAGAATCAAATCTTGGAGATATGCGTGAAACATACCCTGGCATTTTGCATTTTCCTTTTGTTATGCTATTTTTCTTTTGTGGGACGGAATGAGGGTTTGGGGTTGTCATTGGTGTTGATCCTTAATGGGTCTTACCGAATTCTTGTACTTGTTATACTTATCTTAACGTATATTGGACACAAAAGGGGTCCTATGTGTAAATTTTGTTGGATACTCCATGGTTTTGTTGTTACTCAGATTGGGGTACAATTGAGAGCATCATATGGTGCACATGCAAGTTTAATTAGGGGTATTCTAATTAATTCGCAAAATAGCTTATGTAGTTCCTCAATTTTACTTTCGTCAGCAATGTTTGTCGTGTTGTCACATTCGTTAAATTTTCTAATAAATTTAGAGGGGGATCATGTGTCAACTTTAAATCTTTAAAATTAAATTTTAATGAGATGACGTCTTGAAGATAGAAATCAAGCATATCTTAACAGAGAAAATCCAAACAGAAAATCCGGATCCTAACTAAAGTACTACTAATGAGGGCACGTAATTAACAAAGCCCAAAATTTCGTTACATTGCATTTGGATAAAAACAAACAAAATTCGCCTGGAATTTGCTTGGACAATATTTTTGCTGTAACTAGAAGTTTCCAAATACTATCCTAGATTCGTAGTTGTGACTGGGTTGGATAAGATAATTGATGTTATCGTCATTGGTTTACTTTGTTTGTTTGTTTGTTTGTTTGTTTGTGTTTTTTTGTATTCCAGAACTTATATAACTCAAAACCACAGTTATAGGAATAGAAGATAGAGGAGCATTTCCTTATCTATAATATCCTTTTCAGGAAGGATAATCAACTCCAATGGCGTCAAGGATGGCTGCAAGGTTTGTTACTCGGAGGCTGTCAAGCAGTGGAAAAGTGCTTAGCGAGGAGGAAAGAGCTGCAGAGACTGTTTATATTAAGGTCATTTATAAAAACCCTAGATATATTCTCTTATGATTTTCCTTTGAACTGTATTGTTGCTGTTTTGTGTGCATTTGTACGCATTTCCTCTTAGATTTAGATAACTATTGAGGTTGATGACTATTGTTGGATGAAGGAAAGGTCTTTATCTAGGAGCTGAAACCTATGTAAATAGTTTGTCTGGGGAAACTTGAAATAACAAACTGATTAAGAATCTATTTAAATATTTGTAGGAATGTATTAGGTCAGTATGTATTAGTAATAAACAAATGTGTTATAGAACTATATCATATACCGTATTATTGTTCATAGAGCTGGAACACACTTTTAGTGTCAGTTACCATGTTCAAAGAATAATAGATAAGTCTATCCAAGTACAAGCACACGTAATGAAAAAGTCTATTTTTTTAATGGTATAAATGCAATTTACACATGTATGTGAAGGTTCATAGTGTTTGAGTATTGGTCACATGAGTAACGTATTAGGTGTCTGTCTTTTAGAATTTCTGAATTGAAAGAAGTTCTTGTGATTTCTTGCTTGTATGTAAAGCGTGAGTTGACTTGGAGTGGTTCCAATATACCTTTGGTGCAATACCAAAGGCCAAAGTGAGTCCAGATCTCCCTGTTCATCTTATGCTTTATTTGGTGCAAAAGTTTTATCACCAAATCATCTGAAATTTAATTTCATGAATATTTTTTTTCCTTTTTCTTGAACTTGTGCATCTGCATGTGAAGTATAGGCTAATCATAGGCAGTAATCAATCAGATGTGATAGATCTCAAGCAACTGTTCCGTTGGTTGGTTTCTTTTCTGCTTGCTCAGAGTCATAGCCTCATAGGCTAATCATTCTGGATTTGATTTCCACAATGGTTGGTCTGTTATTCTCGAAATACTTTTATTTATTCTAAAATCTGAATTATGAAATCGATGTGGGGGGTTATCTCTGTGATCATTAAAAATGATGACGATCTAATTCCATTCTTGAGGTTGATGACCATTGTTGGATGAAGGAAAGGTCTTTTATCTAGGAGCAGAAACCTATGTAAATAGTTTGTCTGTCGTGGGGAAACTTGAAATAACAAATTGATTAAGAATCTATTTAAATATTTGCAGGAATGTATTAGGTCAGTATAAATGCCGGAATCTATTTAAGTCTATCCAAGTACAAGCACACGTAATGAAAAGTCTATTTTTTTAATAGTATAAATGCAATTTACACATGTATGTGAAGGTTCATAGTGTTTGAGTATTGGTCACATGAGTAACGTATTAGGTGTCTGTCTTTTAGAATTTCTGAATTGAAAGAAGTTCTTGTGATTTCTTGCTTGTATGTAAAGCGTGAGTTGACTTGGAGTGGTTCCAATATACCTTTGGTGCAATACCAAAGGCCGAAGTGAGTCCAGATCTCCCTGTTCATCTTTTGCTTTATTTGGTGCAAAAGTTTTATCACCAAATCATTTGAAATTTAATTTCATGAATATTTTTTTTCCTTTTTCTTGAACTTGTGCATCTGCATGTGAAGTATAGGCTAATCATAGGCAGTAATCAATCAGATGTGATAGATCTCAAGTAACTGTTCCGTTGGTTGGTTTCTTTTCTGCTTGCTCAGAGTCATAGCCTCATAGGCTAATCATTCTGGATTTGATTTCCACAATGGTTGGTCTGTTATTCTCGAAATACTTTTATTTATTCTAAAATCTGAATTATGAAATCGATGTGGGGGGTTATCTCTGTGATCATTAAAAATGATGACGATCTAATTCCATTCTTTCAATTGTGAAGACAATCGAGGCATTTGTCTGAGAGAATAATACCCACTTTTCCTATGAGACCAATTCCCATTGTTTCTATTTATTTCCAAGTTTTTATATTTTATATTTTATTTTCTGGTTTTCAAATAATTATTTTCTTTCATTTTTGGGATAGAAAGGCATCTGCTGCATCAACAGTTCAAGTTCTTGATTTGCTTCTGATTCTCCTTTGATTTTGAGCTTGAGTTTTGATGATCCTGATGCATACGTTGAAGGAAAAAAAAAATCTTGATGAAGATAAATGTTTAGATGATTTGGTGGTAGAAATTTTTGCTCCATCCAAGTTTTTATATTTTATATTTTATTTTCTGGTTTTCAAATAATTTTTTTCTTTCATTTTTGGGATAGAAAGGCATCTGCTGCATCAACAGTTCAAGATCTTGATTTGCTTCTGATTCTCCTTTGATTTTGAGCTTGAGTTTTGATGATCCTGATGCATACGTTGAAGGAAAAAAAAAATCTTGATGAAGATAAATGTTTAGATGATTTGGTGGTAGAAATTTTTGCTCCATAGAGGCTTTGATAGGTTTCTCCGTTTTACTTTCTCTCTTAGAAAACCTGGTTTCTGTAGTGGTTTACTGTGTGGCCAATGTCTTTTTACTGTTTCAAATATTTAGAGTCGTAGAATCTCATTAAATGTGATCCTACTGCTGTGGTGTCAGTCCAGCACACTTGAAAGTTTGGTGTACCTGCTAGTGAAGAACGTTGTGTACAGATACATATAAATATGTAGATATATGTGCACACATACTTACATGTATATGAAGTGTGGACGAGTGTTTCTATTTTGTCTGTTTACTTATCGTATATGCAATGCTAATGTGATATATCTTCTCACTGTTATTGTTTATTGTTTTTAATGCAGAAAATTGAGCAAGAATGGTTTACTGTGTGGCCAATGTCTTTTTACGGTTTCAAATATTTGGAGTTGTAGAATCTCATTAAATGCAATCCTACTGCTGTGGTGTCAGTCCAGCACACTTGAAAGTTTGGTGTATCTGCTAGTGAAGAACGTTGTGTACAGATACATATAAATATGTAGATATATGTGCACGCATACTTACATGTATATGAAGTGTGGACGAGTGTTTCTATTTTGTCTGTTTACTTATCGTATATGCAATGCTATTGTGATATATCTTCTCACTGTTATTGTTTATTGTTTTTAATGCAGAAAATCGAGCAAGAGAAGCTGGCGAAGCTTGCGCGTAAAGTATGACCACAGTTTTTACATTTCATGTATTTTGAGATTTAAGTAATCTTAGATAACCACACTTTAGAATGTAAAGCATTCTTCATTGTTTAAGCAGCCAGAGTTCGGCATTCAGAAAATTGAATTACTTTTGAGGGCTTTGCGTAGTGTTAAATGAAGCTTGTTAAAATTGAGAAACAAGATAATACAACTATGGCATCATACTTTTCTCTACAGATAATGTATTTGTGTGTTGTTCCTTCGGGAACACCCGATAAAATTGGAAGACCATATTTTATTCAGCCCTTCATTTTGCAACTTGAAGTGTTCTAGTCAAATGTTTAGCAGCTCAAGTTTTAGTGTGGTCTGGTTTGCTGGCGTATTGATTATTAGTTTACATGTCTGATCACATATTTATCATTGCGATCACCCAATCAATTGTGATTTATATGTTCTGGTCAAATTTTTTCTTCCAGCCTGCTAGATGTGGTTCAATGTCATACTAGTTCTTGGTTGGGATTGTCATGTCTCTGCTACAAATACTATGCTCAATTATTTGAACATTTTCAGGGCCCTAAACCGGAAGAGAACCCAACTGCAAGCTCAGAGGGCTCGATATCTGATGCCAAACCAAGTGGCTCTACCTCTGGAGAATCAACTGCCAAGGTATCCACTGACAAGTACCGGAATTATGCAGTTGTAGCAGGTGTTATAACTATTGGTGCTGCTGCAGGTTGGTATCTCAAATCTAGTGGAAAGAAACAAGAAGTGCAGGACTGAGATTAGTGTGCTTTGGTATGAACAATTGAAGCATCAATTGTCATAACACTTTCTGGTTAGCATAGAAATAAATCAAACTACGAACCGTCTTTGTTTCTGGCGGATATGTGCTGTGTTGAGTTTTTGTTATAACCTTTTCTGTTTTGGGAAATATATACATAATGGAAGGTATTCTGCAGCTTTCAATTTTCTAGTGCGGTTGTTCATTGCGTTATAAGAGGGTAGCAAATGGTTTTTGTTGATTGACGATTGTGTCAGCAGTTGAGACTTTTCACTTGGGCTTAAGGAGAGGCTTGAGCCCAAGTTGTGCGAAAGGAAGAAAAACGCTCCGCATGGAGGGAATGTTTTAGGTTGTGATTTGTTAGCATGTAGCAAGCAATGGCTCTTTATCTGTAACGGGGCCAAGCAGTCTTCTTGATGGAATGATTTGCTGCATATCTTAGGGTTTGTTTTTTCATAGTTTGCAGATGCCGTGCAGTGCAAATATTAGGAATCTAATTGGTGAACTAGACATAGACAAGCTCCAAGAGCAAATTGACTTAGATTACACATTCTGCAGCTTTGTTAGTAGCTGTCTTTCTTATAATTCATCTATAGTTACATGTTGTTACATGCATGAGACAGTGATATTGTCGGAATTTTAAGTTCACTGGGCTGAGTTCCAATTTTTGTAATGTAAAGCTGATATGAGCAATTAAGCGCTTAAAAAAATAACCACCTTAGAAATGGGATTTATCGTCAACAGTGTGAAAAAAAGAAAAATAAATGGGACTTTAAAGAATTTATTTATCATGCAACAATATCATCCTATAAGTTTGTAACAATATCATTGCGAATTGATTTTCAGTGCAACTTATAATTCATTACATAAAAAACATGTTTATGTATATATTTTTTTTAAAGATATTAGGCTTTTTATCACAAATGGTCATTTACGTTTACGAAATTATCACGAATGGTTCTTAAGGTTTTTTTGTGACACTAATAGTACTTAATGTTTGAGTTTTTTTATCACAAATGGTCCCTACCGTTAGAAATTCTGTTAAGTATCTAGTGTGGAAGATAAATGGAGCCCACATGTCCAATCACATTATGACATGTGGATTAAATAAATAAAGAAATATTTTTTTGATGAAAATCTATTTAAAAAACATTTAGCCTCTCTCTTTTTGCAACTTGAAGTGTTCTAGTCAAATGTTTAGCAGCTCAAGTTTTAGTGTGGTCTGGTTTGCTGGCGTATTGATTATTAGTTTACATGTCTGATCACATATTTATCATTGCGATCACCCAATCAATTGTGATTTATATGTTCTGGTCAAATTTTTTCTTCCAGCCTGCTAGATGTGGTTCAATGTCATACTAGTTCTTGGTTGGGATTGTCATGTCTCTGCTACAAATACTATGCTCAATTATTTGAACATTTTCAGGGCCCTAAACCGGAAGAGAACCCAACTGCAAGCTCAGAGGGCTCGATATCTGATGCCAAACCAAGTGGCTCTACCTCTGGAGAATCAACTGCCAAGGTATCCACTGACAAGTACCGGAATTATGCAGTTGTAGCAGGTGTTATAACTATTGGTGCTGCTGCAGGTTGGTATCTCAAATCTAGTGGAAAGAAACAAGAAGTGCAGGACTGAGATTAGTGTGCTTTGGTATGAACAATTGAAGCATCAATTGTCATAACACTTTCTGGTTAGCATAGAAATAAATCAAACTACGAACCGTCTTTGTTTCTGGCGGATATGTGCTGTGTTGAGTTTTTGTTATAACCTTTTCTGTTTTGGGAAATATATACATAATGGAAGGTATTCTGCAGCTTTCAATTTTCTAGTGCGGTTGTTCATTGCGTTATAAGAGGGTAGCAAATGGTTTTTGTTGATTGACGATTGTGTTCACTTGGGCTTAAGGAGAGGCATGGGCCCAAGTTGTGCGAAAGGAAGAAAAACGCTCCGCATGGAGGGAATGTTTTAGGTTGTGATTTGTTAGCATGTAGCAAGCAATGGCTCTTTATCTGTAACGGGGCCAAGCAGTCTTCTTGATGGAATGATTTGCTGCATATCTTAGGGTTTGTTTTTTCATAGTTTGCAGATGCCGTGCAGTGCAAATATTAGGAATCTAATTGGTGAACTTGACAGAGACAATCTCCAAGAGCAAATTGACTTAGATTACACATTCTGCAGCTTTGTTAGTAGCTGTCTTTCTTATAATTCATCTATAGTTACATCAAGATATTATGTTTATATGCAAAGAGTTTGTAGCTCAAATGGCTAAGAGTATTTATCATTACACTCCAGGTTTTAGGTTCGATTCCCCCTCCCCAAAATTTAGGTTCAGTTCCCACTCTCTCCCCAAAATCGTAGTCGTAGTAGTACTGGTGAATATTAACATTCTTGTAACTACATGGCATTCGATTTTCTTGCGTTTATCAAAGAGTGAACCAATGTTTGTGGGTATGTTGCAATTTTAAATTATGAGGACTGCTATTTTCACCTCTATTTATTACCCTTTTGTAAAACGACTTCTAAGGATTTAAGGAAAAAATCTCAACTTATGTAATGTAATGTAAAGCTGATATGAGCAGTTAAGCGCTTAAAAAAACAACCACCTTAGAAATGGGATTTATCGTCAACAGTGTGAAAAAAAGAAAAATAAATGGGACTTTAAAGAATTTATTTATCATGCAACAATATCATCCTATAAGTTTGTAACAATATCATTGCGAATTGATTTTCAGTGCAACTTATAATTCATTACATAAAAAACATGTTTATGTGTATATTTTTTTTAAAGATATTATGTTTATATGCAAAGGGTTTGTGGCTCAAATGGCTAAGAGTATTTACCATTGCACTCCAGGTTTTAGGATCGATTCCCCCTCCCCAAAATTTAGGTTCAGTTCCCACTCTCTCCCCAAAATCATAGTCGTAGTAGTACTGGTGAATATTAACATTCTTGTAACTACATGGCATTCGATTTTCTTGCGTTTATCAAAGAGTGAACCAAATTTTGTGGGTATGTTGCAATTTTAAATTATGACTGCTATTTTCACCTCTATTTATTACCCTTTTGTAAAACGACTTCTAAGGATTTAAGGAAAAAATCTCAACTTATGTAATCCACTTATTCTACTGTTTGATAAAAAAGACTTAAAAATCCAGAAAGTCAAAATGTTAGACTAAAATATTTATCCACTGAGTGAAACACAACTTGATCCTCTCCATATCTCTCCTACTAATGATTAGGAAAGAATTTTCTTAAATTAATAATTAAATGATATTTTAAGAATAATAGTAAGTGAAAAGATAGGATTATGATTTTTCAAATTTACATGATTAGTGGGAAAATAAAGTAGGTGGGGAAATAAAGACACTGAAAAAAATTGTATCGGTACGTTGATCGGTTTGGTTTGACAGAACTTCAGAGAGAGAACCATGCTGTTGTCGGGGAGCTTTTGGAATCAAAAGTCTTGTGTTCAAATGGACATGAGCACACCAAAATGAATGCCAACAGATGTAAATTGGAATCCACAGGGAGGAGAGAGAGAGAGAGAGAGGCTAAATGTTTTTTAATGGATTTTCATCAAAAAAATATTTATTTATTTATTTAATCCACATGTCATAATGTGATTGGACATGTGGGCTCCACTTATCTTCCACATCACACTTAACAGAATTTTTAACGGCAAGGACCATTTGTGATAAAAAGCTCAAACGTTAAGGACTATTGGTGTCACAAAAAAACCTCAAGGACCATTCGTGATAATTTCGTAAATGTTAAGGACCATTTGTGATAAAAAGCCAAATGTTTTTTAATGGATTTTCATCAAAAAAATATTTATTTATTTATTTAATCCACATGTCATAATGTGATTGGACATGTGGGCTCCACTTATCTTCCACATCACACTTAACAGAATTTTTAACGGCAAGGACCATTTGTGATAAAAAGCCAAGATATTATGTTTATATGCAAAGAGTTTGTAGCTCAAATGGCTAAGAGTATTTATCATTACACTCCAGGTTTTAGGTTCGATTCCCCCTCCCCAAAATTTAGGTTCAGTTCCCACTCTCTCCCCAAAATCGTAGTCGTAGTAGTACTGGTGAATATTAACATTCTTGTAACTACATGGCATTCGATTTTCTTGCGTTTATCAAAGAGTGAACCAAATTTTGTGGGTATGTTGCAATTTTAAATTATGACTGCTATTTTCACCTCTATTTATTACCCTTTTGTAAAACGACTTCTAAGGATTTAAGGAAAAAATCTCAACTTATGTAATCCACTTATTCTACCGTTTGATAAAAAAAGACTTAAAGATCCAGAAAATCAAAATGTTAGACTAAAATATTTATCCACTGAGTGAAACACAACTTGATCCTCTCCATATCTCTACTACTAATGATTAGGAAAGAATTTTCTTAAATTAATAATTAAATGATATTTTAAGAATAATAGTAAGTGAAAAGATAGGATTATGATTTTTCAAATTTACATGATTAGTGGGAAAATAAAGTAGGTGGGGAAATAAAGACACTGAAAAAAATTGTATCGGTACGTTGATCGGTTTGGTTTGACAGAATCAAAATGGTCGTATTTTAAAAGAAAGCGAAGTCGGATTTTAACAGGCCCCACTTGCTCGCACTCCCCTCTCTTCTTTCTTCTTCTCAGTGCCTCAGCAAGAGTATAGTTTGCAGAGAGAAAAATGGAGAAGGATATAAGGGAGGTGGTGGTCTCAGCTTTGCAATTCGCTTGCACCGATGACGTCACCACTAACGTTGCAACAGCGGAAAGGTCTCTTTTTGTACTTTCTTCTTTCTCTTCATTCATCTAATCTTGTTAACATCATAGGCTAAGCGAGCATAAGCAGGGCCTGTTATTTGATCAATGAAAATTTGCTGAATTGAAAGACCCTTTTGTTAAAGATTGCATTTTGAACTTGTTATGTGCATTTCTGGAACTGAATAACCAAACCCAGAAAGTTATCAGCTTGTTTTCCTTGAGTGAGATTCTTGCACTGGATGAATTTCTGGGTTGTTCCTCTTTTTGCAATCTTCCTAATTGTTTCCAGTGTTTCTCGTTGTTTTTGGGGCCAGAAAATTACTCTGATTGTATAATCGTATTGGTTAGTTTGTTTTGCCATTCCCCTCAATTTGTCCAATACCATCCACCATTCCATAAGAGTAAAAGTAAGTGGTTGTTACGGATTTTAGTCGCATTAAGGCGGATTTAAGGTATAGTTTGCTTGCTCTGGATAATAGTCTTTTGTTCGATTCACCGTTGAACCTTGATCCAGTGAAGTCTCATTAAATTACTCGAGAGTATACATTTGAACATGATTGTATGTCTGTTGATGAAAATCTAATGATTAATATGAAATGTCTTTTACTTACTTGCCCGGTGCTTTTGTTCTATTAACAGTTCGATTTTGATCAAATCTAATTCAGGCATGGCATGTGTCTCATTTGATTACTTAAAAGTACGCATCTGAACGTGCAATGAACTATTAAATGGAAAACTGTTTGTGCTTATCCGAAGTTTGGAAGGAATATTTTTGTTAGTGTTTTAATTTGGAAACTCTTTTTTAGTCAAGAAGATGGGTGTGTGACTGTTGGGTTTAGTCCAGGAGAGTGAGCCCTTTTGAACTTGGGTTATGACACTTTATTTGAGATTAAATAAGCATAATGCTTTTTTTTTTTACCCTCTAAAAATTATATGTAGTTGGATCTAGTTGGGGCCTAATTTAAACTAAAGAATTGAGGGTTCGAAGTTGTTCCGTCAACTGGTTCTCCTCAGGCTGGGCGTTGCCCTTATTTTTAAAGAAGTATTCTTGTTAAGTGGAATTCATTGTCTATTTCCATTCAGGTTGGTTAGAGCTGCTCATGCAAAGGGTGCAAACATCATTCTTATACAGGTATGACACTTCAAATCTGGAAGAAGTTTCTTTCTAGGTCTATAACTCATAGTTTTGTTTTCATTTTGCCATGCTCATACTGATACATCCTCAAAGTTATTAAGATTTGATATTCCAAATTCCAAATTAGAGTTATATATGCAAAGTTCAACGTGAGCCTAAAAGGTGGAGAGCAAGAAGCATCGTGATTAAGTCTAAAATTGTTCTGTTTTTTTTCCATGGCACTTATGATTGAATGCAAATTGTGATAGTTTATATGTGATCTTTTCTTTTGATTGGTGCTGGATTGTTGCAGGAACTTTTTGAGGGACATTACTTCTGTCAGGCACAAAGGGAGGACTTCTTTCAGCGAGCAAAGCCTTACAAAGATCATCCAACAATTCTTAGGTGAAAGCATTGGGAAATAGCTTTTCAATTTCGGTTTGATCTTCCTAGATGTCCTCATCCTGGATTCTGCATTGTGCTACTAACATATCAGGAAAACCTTTAAAAAGAAAAATGAAGGAAAAAAAAATTAGGTTCTTAATTGACTTGGGAACACTTTTTGGGCAGTAATACTTATGTATTTTATTGCATGCTCTGTAGGATGCAAAAAATTGCAAAAGAGTTGGGTGTGGTAATACCAGTTAGCTTCTTTGAAGAGGCAAATAATGCCCATTACAACTCAATTGCCATTATTGATGCTGATGGGGCAGATCTTGGACTTTATAGGAAATCTCACATCCCAGACGGACCAGGTATTCAAGTTGCACAATGTTCCTCTTATTTGATCTCATCTTGTAATTATGATAAAAGCCACAATTTTTCTGCTGCAGGCTACCAGGAAAAGTTCTACTTCAATCCAGGTGACACTGGATTCAAGGTGGGTGCTTAATACAATTACAATCTATATATAATGCTGTTTTTGGTTGCTTCTATATTGGTGGTGATTGATGATGTAATTTTGTTGGTAAGCAGGTTTTCAAGACCAAGTTTGCCACAATTGGAGTTGGTGAGAAAATTTGAAGTACTTGCTTCTTGAGTTTAGATGAATTTCTTGGGGCAACAGCTGCCCAATTCAAAAGCTGGCATATCTTCAATATCGTCTGTGGTTCATTGAACTCTGCAATCTTTATCTGTTAGATAATAGAAATCATGTTGAGAATAGTGGCGTGTATGTTGACCAATGACATTTTGTGGGAAGACTGTGAACTTATTCTGCTAGTACTTCATTTCATGTCAGCAATTTGCTGGGATCAGTGGTTTCCTGAGGCAGCCCGATCTTTGGTTCTTCAAGGTGCAGAGATATTGTTTTACCCTACTGCTATTGGTTCTGAACCTCAAGATGGAGGACTTGATTCTAGGGATCACTGGAGGCGAGTAATGCAAGGGCATGCTGGGGCTAATGTGGTAAATATTTTAGAGTAGTTTGGCTACTTTTTGGATTTAGAAAGCACTTCAGTTGGTTTAAAGTTAGCTTGTCTGTCCTTGTCATTTCAAGCTGCTTATGTCTGGAGTTGGGTTTAGTTTGTCTAGTCTCTAAACTGGTGACTGTCTTGGACCAATAATGGCCAATCAAAGATGCAATATATAAATTGGAACGAATTGAGAGTTTTTTTTTCCTATTGAATTGCTACCAAGAAAAAGTAATTAATCTTTGTTTGATGAATTTCAGGTCCCTGTAGTAACTTCAAATCGCATAGGGAAAGAGGTAATTGAGACCGAGCATGGAAAGAGTGAGATCACATTTTATGGTAACTCTTTCATTGCAGGTATTTTTCCTTACTTTTATTTAGAACTACCTTCAATAAACCAATCCTTCGTTGATTGAGGTGAATTTTTAGAAATACTTGGATTTGCATAATTTAATGTCCAGGACCCACTGGAGAAATTGTTGCAACTGCTAATGATAAAGAGGAAGCTGTACTAGTAGCAGAATTTGACCTGGACAAAATCAAATGGAAGAGACATAGTTGGGGAGTATTCCGTGATCGACGCCCAGATTTATACAAGGTGCTACTGACATCAGATGGCAGCAATTCCCCGTTGTGATGATGCCCCTTACCTCTTACTGCTATGCATGTTGTAGAATTAATAAAGGAAATACTTCAAAACCCATCACTATCATGCACTAAATTTCAGAAGTACAGTGGTCCTACCCGGATTACTAACAGGGACCTCAATGGCATGACTAGAAAATTTAGGAGTACTTTAGAGGAAGAAATTATTTCAAGTGAAGCACTACTGGGTGATCATTTATAATTGGTAGTCTCTACACAATGGATTGTGTTAAACTCTTATTTACCTTGCCAAGTCAAACTTTTAATTCCAATCTATTTCTTCAATGTATTTGCTGAGAGTGCGATGTCATATTTCTTATTTAGTTTGTTATCATATGGCTTAATTCTTGTTGTTGAACTTCATTTATCCTGGTTACTGTACTGCATTGGAGCAAGTTGGTTGCCCTCCCAGAGAATCCAGGCTCTGTTCCAAAGGTTCTATTTCTGGAGCACAGAAAGGTCTGGGCCCTGCGCTTCTATCAAAATTGAGTCAGTTTGTGCTTGATGAATTAAAAAGGGAAAAAC